AAATTAATTCTAAATTAATTTTTGATCAATACTAAATAAATAATATGATTTCATATTAATATATTAGAACTTATAATATATTAATATAAATCATAAGTATCTTTTTTTCTCATTTTGTCTATCCAATTGTTCCGATGCCATGCAACCCAAATGGACCATACCAAATCGGGTCAAGTACATACCAATTATAGTTATGGACTTAGACACTAATCCAACACTCCATAACCTCGGACTTGACCAAACCTTAAAAGTCAACACTCGAGTCAACAGTTCATGTTGACCCGACTCGTCGAGTGCACCTATGTTACTCGTCGAGTCCCCTTGCTTCCTCAGAAGTGTCGCGAAAGTCCCCCTTAGCTCGTCGAGTTCTCTCATCAACTCGTCGAGTCACACGTGTCCAGACTCGTCGGGGAAAACCCTAACCGACTCGTCGAGTCAGTTCTCCGAATCGTCGAGTCCTTTCAGAATCTATTCTCATTCAGACGTTTTAAGGCAGATTTACAACCCCAAACTCTAGATCTAGCCTCCTAAGGATGAGATACCATGTAAAGCTACAACCTTTATGTCCATGCATGGCACTTAGGGCTTGAAATGCCAAAACAAGTTTCCATTTAGTGTCTTAAGCATAAAAGCTCTTCTATAGTTGGATAAAGTTGGGACCTTTGGACTCTAGGGACCTCACAAGGTCCAGATCTGAAGTCTCAATCTCTTTGTAAGCTCAACACACTCAAAGCCTCAAGGAAAGATGGAAAAAGCCCTAAAGCTCCATAAAAGTGAGATCTAATCGAAATAATGAACAAGGTGGAGACTTTTTATCTTCAACGGAAGCTATAGATGAAATAACACCAGATCAAACAGTCCATTCTCGTTCCTTTCTTTAATACTCTTTTCTTCTCTTCAAATAGTGCACTAAAATGCCAAAAGATTAGCTATCTTTCTCTCTTAGCTCAATATAGACGATTAGGGTTTCACACAGGGGAGTAAGGTGGCTGGTGAGGCGGAAATGAGGGCTTAAGGTCCTTTAAATAGGACCCAACCCCGGGGATTTAGGGTTTCCTCTCACAGCGCCAACTCGTCGAGTTGGTCGTAAAACCCACGCGGCCAAAACTCTTCTCTACTCGACGAGTTGGGGCCTCCAACTCGTCGAGTTGCTCAATGAAAATCATAAAAAAAATTAAAAATATTATACCTGGGAATTGGTATGTTACATTCTCTCTTCCATGGAAATGAGCTTGGTGGCTGGATCGTGAGGTTAATGTCTTATTTTGTTGAAACTTGAAGAAGAAAGAATTTCATCTTCATGCAAGGAAGAAAGGAGCAAGCTTGGATCCAACATCTTCTTCACATTTCAGTTATTGGAGGTATAAAGTTCATATCTTGACCTTTGTGTTTCTTGTTAGATGTTTGAGCCTATTTTCGGATGTTTTGATCCCATTCTTGGATACTCTTTGAGTTTGAGGAACTCCCGAGCTTGATATGGTTTTCTCATGGTTATGAACTTCTGAGTTGGTGAGAAAAATGTCTTAGCTTGAGTGTTCTTGATGTCATGTTTGAGTTTTTGTCATATTAAGTGCTTATTAGACTTAGGGCTCATGATTTTCCCTTTGGATGAGGTCCTAATGGATAAAGTTGGAAACTTTATCAATTAAGTCATTGAGAATGAGTATATCTGAATTTTTGGATTTAGATCTGTAAGGATTAAGTGCCCAATGAAGAAATGGTGCTTCAGAGAGTTCATACGACGTGGCGAAGGTGACCACGACATGGAGGGGTTTGAAACCTCGACTGTTTTGTCCTGGAATGGCCAAGACGTGGCCAAGGAAGGACATGACGTGGCAATAGTCTGCATGTTGACTGTTTGACTTTGACCATTGACAATTAACTTTTTGACCAATTTGACTTTTGGTCAAGCTTGACTAGAATTTAGCATTTAACTAAGGATTGATTTCGGTTTGGATTTAGGAAGCTTGGGTTGGCTGTTCTGTTGCTGAGGTGGCAGTTGAGCTTCTGATGAGTAGTTCAGGTGAGTCTATTAACTGTACTCGTGGGTCGAAGACACCAATACCGACCCACTGGATTATGTTTGTAGGATGATGGTTGTCTTTGTGATACTTGCATGAAAGACCATGGGGGTAGCCCATGACACTTGTATGTAAGATCGGGATTTGGCCTCCGACATTACAAGGAAAGACCATGGGGGTAGCCCATGACACTTTTATGTAAGACCGGGATTTGGCCTTCAACATTGCAATGAAAGACCATGAGGGTAGCCCATGGCACTTTTATGTAAGAATGAGATTTGGTCATCGATATTGCAAGGAAAGACCATGGGGGTAGCCCATGGCACTTTTATGTTTGGTATGTGGTATTTTGGGGAACTCACTAAGCTTTGTGTTTTACGGTTTTAAGGTTTAAACATTTTTAGGTACTTCTAGTTTTAACAAGAAGATTATAGCTTGATCGCACTGCATCCCCTGAAAATTTATTCTACAATGATTATTTATGATTTTATTCTGATGTTTTGGGAATACTTTTATTCTAATCGTCTTTTGAGATAATGTATGAATGATTTTGATTTATTTAAAATGAAAATTTTACTCGGTATTTTTGAGACGTTATAGAAGTTCTCATTAAAAGTATAAATATCCTCTATTCAGCAAAAAGGTACGCACCAAATATATATATATATATATATATATATATATATATATATATATATATATATATTAAAAACGGTTAAAAACTAAACAAAAAGTTTTCAACAGATGCAAGTTCATATAAATATGATTAAAAGGCAAGACCATACAACTTCTTAAAAACATATGTAGATAATTAAAAAAAAACAATGTTTGAAGTAGTAAAACAGATGCCATTTTTTTCTATAAAGCATAATAGCATACATATCTTGTAACCGATTTAAGAGGAAAGAAAGTTCATAAATACATAAACTGATGAAAAAAGAACTAAGAAAGTGAGAAGTCGGAATTCAGATGCAAAGGATGACTAAAAACTTCATAACAGTGAATAAGAATATACAGACAATAAACACATAAACAGATCTTGTATTCAATTTCAGAAAATTACCAATGAAAAAAAAACATGAACTAGTTTCTATAATCGATTTCTTGAAAAGTAGAGCATACATATCAACAACAAGAAAAGAGAAACAAGCTAGCATCGAATGAGGAACGATAAGCAAGAACAGACAACTATAATCGATTTCTTGAATATCAGAGCATACAGACAATGATGAATAGCAACAACAACAAAAATAGGGGTTAAAAAACAAAAACTTACCAATCGGTAACGATAACCAAGAGCAGCAAGCCAACATCGAATATTTAACAACAAGATTTTGTAGCGATGAAGAAGGAAAACAGGCACTTCTTACTTCTTAGGCATCGATTCTTTTGATACTACAGTAAGGAGAAATTAACTTGAGGAGAGCAATTAAAAATGGGGAACAAACAAAGGTGTCTATTTAAGGTTAAGGAGTTCTCATCGAATCCGGTTAAAAGAAGAAGTAATAGCAGGCTCATTGGAATCATGTGATAGAGGCGAGACTCGAGATGCCGGTAGAGTTCTCAATGAAGATTTGGAATTAATTGTAAGCACTGAAGTTGTATCCTTCTAGGTTCCCAATACATGAAAAGTTTGTATTTAATTTATTAGTTTTATATATAATATATAAATATTATTAATATATTATCAAAAAGTTGTAAGTTATAATTTTGTGTAAATATTGGTTTAATTTCTTGTCGGGTTACTATCGTTTTAATATCGTGTTGTTGTCGGGTTAATTTCGTTCTGAATTTTGAACACGAACAAGACACGACTTCGGGTTTTTTAAAAAACAATACGAAAACGACACGAACACGAATTCAAAATTCGATTTCGTCCCAATTTCGTTTCGTGTCGTGTATTTTTGTTGTGCCGTGTCAGTTTTGCCACCCCTATTCTTATTTTACGAGTGATGACTTATGGAGTATAAAAGAGGTCAACCCATTATCCCTCCAAGAAGCCACGTAGAAGTAGTAATCATTCCAACTAATATATATATATATATATATAATATATATATAATATATCTATATATATATTATATATATTATATATATATTACATGCAACACCCTAATATTAACCTAGTATATTATAACATAATCATTTTTACTCTAATCATATTTATTTGAAACATTTATATTTTCAACTTCTTTCTTAATCAACACATTAGTTCCTTTATTATTCTAATTTCAATATCAACTCAATATTTTTCAACATAATATTTTTAATTTGTTAATTTAGATATGTTATTAAATTCAAAAACATAAATTATATATATGTTTATATTATTGTTAAATTTGAAAATATTATATCAAACAAATAATCTACGGTATTAATTATATATTATCAAGAATCCAAATAAAATTTCTTTGGCTAACTAAAATTCTATTGTAATGGTTATCTTTTTTACTTATTTACTCAAAGATGTGTTAGATTATGGTATGTATTTTTTTTTGGGTTTTAGTCCAAACCACGATTTTTTTTGGATTTATAGTCATTTTGGATTAGTTTGTATGTGAAAATAGTTCATCCGAAAATTGAAATAACTATAATACCCCTGGGATATTTATTTTTCATTTTTTTAAAATTTAATATTAATTTATTTATTTTAACAATAAAAAATAAAAGAGGCTCTCTCTCTCTCTAATCTCTAAAATTAAAATACATACACACTTCAATCTCACCATCGCATACCAACACCACCGTATCCTTCGTCACCATCAAATCTGACCACCACCAATCCGACATCATCACAGTAACTTGTTTTTTGGTGGATCAAAAAACCATCCTTACCGATACTCAACTCAAATACATACATGAAAACCTTACATTTCAATTTAACCACAAATCAAAACCAAATCCTACAAAAAAGATCAATTCTGCATCTGGGTGGGTGGCGGAAGAAACGAGTTACCTCCTTCCTGCATCTGGGACGTTTTATTTACATGAAACATCTGGGTTAAATCCCCCAACTGGTTCCTCCTTCCTGAGAGCTCCGGCGACCGGCGATATTGATCTTCTCCAGCAAGACGTCATCGTCGGTGGTACATAGAGAATAGAGAAACATGATGTGTAAAGGGTATCGGGGTTTTGCAATGGTAGAGAGTAGAAATAGGCTGAGTAAAGAGTGGAGGTGGGAGCATTTTCCGGCGAGAGGAAAGGGTGAAGAGGCGATCTGTCGGCAGGGGGTAGATCCAACGACGATCTGATAGTAGAGTGCAGGTTTAGTTGTGGTGGACTGAGGTCCGGTGGATTTTCTACTGGAGGCAACGAAACAGGAAGAGGTGGAGTTATTTTGATTTCTGATCGGGTTTTGGTTGATAATTTGTTGTGGCTGGAAGGAGGAACGATGGTGACCGGTGAGGAGCTGATATAAATTGGGTTTTGAAGAAGTGGTGTTGAAGAAGATGACACCATCTTGATTCCTGGAGAGAGAGAGGGAGAGAGAGAAAAGTGGGCCCAAAATTAATTAATTATATTTTTCATTTAAATTAAATAGAAAAAAACATAAAAAATAAATCAGAAGGACATTACAGTCATTTCAGTTTACCGAGGGACCAAATCCACAACGAAACTAACTTAAAATGGCCACTAACCCAAAAAAATCGAGAATCAGACTAAAACCCCAAAAAAATACATATCACAGGGACAATTTTTACAATTTAGTCAATAATATATACAATCTTTTTTCCTTATTTTAATATTAACTATTTAACATAACATACATAATTTGTTCATTTGAAACACTTTAATTGACTCATTTTATATTTTAATGTAATACACTTAGTTTGATTAAAGATTTTTAATTATTCTAACAAGTAAATTAAATTTAATAAAACAATTCCTTATATATTTATGAAGATTGAAAATTTAGTTTGACGGTAGCTCGACGGTCGACTGATGTTAAAGGATTAATCGGTTTTGGCGGAGATTAAGCGGGGACCATAGATTATTAATAAAATATTAAAATTAATCAAATATTAATATATCTTAAGAAAAACAATTTAAAATTAGAAAATAAGAAAATTTGTAATTTGAAATTTTGAAAATACGAAAATATGAAATTTTTGTATAATATTTTAAAATTTGAAATTTTGGAGAAAAAAAAAAGTTGATTTTTTGAATTTTTTTTACCTTTTTTGACTTTTTAGACTTTTTAAGATTTTTTTAGACTTTTGTTGACCGATTAATCCAGCTAAGACCGATTAATCCCGTCAAACCCGATTAATCCTAAATTTCCGATTAATACCCTAACCCTCGACGGTTGGAGAACGTCAAACGATTCATTCACGATTAATCGCCGATTTCTGCAACCATGATATTTATATTGTTGTTTAATATTAAAACTATTATATTAAGCAAATAATCAAGAATATAAATTAAATGTTATAAAACATCAAAATAAAAGAATATATATTAATCAAAAACATAGATACAGCAGCTATATTTGACTTGGTTTATTTAAAGATATGTTAATTTATATTACTTTTTCTTATAAGTTAAAAGAGTAAATTAATATTCTAACCATATTCTTTTAATTAATATATTGAATCTTTTATTATTTTTATTTTAATATTAAATTTTTATTTTCAACATTATACATTTAGTTTGTTTATTTAAATACGTTGTTAAATTCAAAATATAAACTAAATATAATTAATTTCTCACATGAAAATCCTATTTTATAATTAATATAATATTTTTAATTTAATTAATGATTTTCATAACTATAATAATTTTATTGAATAATTTATATATATATATATTATATATATATATATATATATTATATATATTATATATATATATATATATTGCTCTAAAAATTTAAAAATATCATATCTACCGAATAGTTTATAATGTTAATTAAATGTTATCAATAGTCAAGATAAAACTTCTTTTTTCAACCAAAAAGATCAATTACACCTACTCACTTCCTCATACTTTTTGTCTGTTACATTATTGTCACATCATTTTCCCCTTAACCTCCCCCCCCCCCTCTCACTTTCTTTACAGACAAAAAATGGTCATTGAAACACCCGGTTTGACTAGGGAATCCCCAAGTTGACCGGGAATGGGGAATACCTGAATAAAAAAGAGGTGATCGGGATACTCGTGCCACATCAAACCCCTTGTGCACACTGGCACTGGCATACTGTCGCCAACCACCGCGACCAACAGATCTCACGCTGAGAATCCAACCTAACTCGGGAGGTCACAAGCCTGCCCACTCGGAAAAACTAAAGGGTAAGATTCTTGCCACCGATAACGATAATCTAATTCGACAATCTGCCACTTAAATCCCAGATACAATTACAAACCGATCATATCAACCGCTTTTTCCCTATGCCTCGAGGCCCAAGGCATAACCTCTAGCCAAATCTCTGATACCTCCAACCAACATACTCATCCGGGTCTGAACCACTCAACCCAAATCAATATCGCTACAGGGGTCTGAACAAACACAAAACCCATCCTCGCTTGGGCAGCCCAAACGAAAAGACTAACCGATATAGAACCACTGCCTCGAACCATAGTATCCAACCATGCTAATCTTCTCTGAATAATCCTTAGAACCCCCGAAATCTTCCTTGAATCGAGTATGGATCCTGTGCTTCCAGTAGTACGGACCCAATACTACCTTCCACACCTATCCATACTTTCCTCAAGAATCGTATTGGGTCCTCTAATAGCTAGTCACAGAATACTCCTGAAACCTGCTTAACAGCAAAACAACTGCACTAGAATACTCCCTAGGCTATCCTAGGGTTCCATACTTCTCTGCCATCAGCTGCTAAAGAACTCCTCACAATGTCAATTAGCTATTCCATGAATACAATCACATGCAACAAAACCCAAATAATCCTTCGAGTAACAGACTCATCCCTACAACGGTTGGACTCAAACGAGAGCTGCGCAGTAGAGTCAAATCCATCACTCTGAGATTATCCAACCTTTTTCACATGTGACTTGACATATTCACCCAATAGCTAACTCACATTACTCATGAGTTCCATAAAGCACAAAGCAAGCAGCATTCGTGCAGAGGAGCCGACTGACACAAAAATGCAATAAAATCGGACAGATCCTCATATGAAATCCTCGATCTTCAACTCCCCGCACCATGGTTACAACTTCGCCCTGCTCTCACTCTCCCTAGAGTGGCTAACCATTCCTCGCGATGTCCCGCTAAACACTGCACCCACTCATGAAACTTCCACCAACCCTGCACACTCGTGTATGCTAGCCATACATAACACTGGATCCTATAGACAGTTGAATACCTGATCCTACCCTAAGCCCTTCATCAAACAAGAACAAGAAATAAGGCCAAACCAAACATTCTCAGACTATAGAATCTTAGTTATGTACAGCTATGATGCATACACTAAGCAACTACAGTAATGATGTCAATCTCATAAAAGAAAGGTCCTAGGCTATCAGACATCATATAATCAAGCAATTCTATCATGCAATTCCTGAAGATCCTTAGCCCTATCACTAGCATGTTGTTCTAACATATCACAATATCAAATAACAGTATGCTTAGTTACTGGTTCCGACTGATCGTACACATCACATCCTCCTTAAGTATTTTGAAAACCATTTAAAAATCATTTTGAAAATCTTTTTCCTTAGTTTGAGACTGGATTCCCATGAGTGTTCCTCCAATTCACTCAAACCAAGGCTTTGATACCAACTTGTAACATCCATAAAATTTAAACTTTTCAAAACAACCCTTTTTCTGTAGAAGTGTTTACAAAACCCATTATTTCCAAAACATTATTTAAAATCAGAATCGTTCTCAACATAGTTTTTAAAACATTCACATTATCAGAGTTTCCCAGAAATCATGAGTCCAAAACGCGAGGATGTGTACGGTTACGCCTTCACCTTGCCACGATCCACTAAAGTACCTGAAACCATAAACCAAAACTGTAAGCACGAAGCTTAGTGAGTTTCCCCCAAAGTACCAACACCAAAACAGATAACATATACAAATAAAAAATGCTCAAATACTCATGCCTGGCCCAATCAGCCTCGGGCTGGAATACCAGGCATGCCTACGATGGGCCCAGTCATCCTCGGGATGGAATACCCTCATATCATAAGCAGTTTGGTCCAATCAACCATCGGGTTGGAATACCAAACATGCCGGGTCAGTTCAACAATCGGGTTGGAGTACCCCAGGCCCATTGACTGACACACAAAGCAGTCCAGTCTCACCACGATCCATACTATCATATGGGGTCCAATCAACCATCGGGTTGGAATACCCCAGGCCCAATCAACCCTTAGGTTGGAATACCAATACAAAACTAGTCCAGTCATCCTCGGGATGGAATACCCTCAAGCCCTCAGTACGAGTCTTGCATACCGCCCGGTCCTCAACTCGTATCTGGAATGCTCCTGGGTTTGTTGGCTACCGCACGGAGTAGTACAACCTAAACCCAACACAACATGCCGACATATAGCAGATAAGCATATAAACAGTCTACAGGCAGACATGTCGATCTATAGATCACTACTCATAGCATCATCCTATAAACCAGGGTACCGATCTAACAGATCACTACTGAACAATAACATACTATCACATAACAGGATATCTAATCAAATGGATTGGCCTTGGTGCCTTCGACCCAAAAGTACAGTGAGGAAAACTTACCTCGAATGCAGGAGCTCCCCGTAAGAAATCCCTAGCTGCTGCCTCGTCGGCTTCCCAAACTATCAATACCAACAACACACCCAATTAGCAATTGTGTTCTATGTTATAACCCATAATCCTTACTTGGGGTAAAATGACCATTTTACCCCTGACCCAAAATGAACCAAAACTGAGTACCATAACCAAAGGATCCACAAAGGTCCACTAATGGCCCAATTTTCTAAATTGGGCCCAACCCCATATGGGCCTTATCCTCTGCCCAGAATTTTCCTTATTACAATTCAGATTACCTCAAGTACCCCTTGGGACAAACTAGATCAAATACCTAAATCGAGAGTCAAAGTCAACGGTCCAAGTTGACCCAACTCGCCAAGTTGTCCTTCAACTCGTCGAGTTTCTCCATCAATCTACACAGATCGGGAAAAACCAAGTCAACTCGTCGAGTTGACCCACCAACTCGCCGAGTTCCTCTATCAATCTGAAAATTTCGGGGAAAACCGAGCCAACTCGTCGAGTTTATCCAACAAACTCGTCGAGTTCGCCAGAAACCCATCTCTTAACACATTAAGCACTTAATCCATGAGGTCTTGACTCCAAAACATAGATCTGACTTCCTTGAGCCGGAAAACCACGTAAAGTTTCCAATTTTACGTTCATGTGTGTCTAAATGAAGCTCTTAAGCTTGGAACAAACTTAATAATTGGCTTAATGCATGCATGACACCAAAATCCTCATAAAGTTTGCACCT